AGGGGCCCTGAGGTCAAGCAGCCTGGTGCACATGAGGAAACTGAGGCCCAGAGCATGCCCACCTCCTCATCTCAGGCCCTGACCAGAGAGCCGTCCATGGCTTTGTTATTGTCCACACACCACTGGGAGGAAATTACAGGCTGGGATTTTTTGCAGGGCCCACAAAATACCCATACAAAAGCCCAAAATGAGGCTAGAATTGGACTCCTCACTCCGTAAGAGCCTTCTCCTGGGAGAGAAGCTTGTACCTCTAGCTCAGACCAGCCTGTCAGGTCCCAGGGGAAAAGTCCATGTGAACACAGCCAGCGGCGTGGTGGACAGACCCCCCCGGTCAGTGGTGGTTTGCTCCTGTGAAGGCAGCGTGTCCGAGATGAGCTGGGAGGACCGGCCTTAGTGCAGGGTCGCAATGGTCTTTTTCAGCTTAGTGAACGGAGTTCTGTATATATGTGTTTAAAATACAGTTCAGTATAAACTGTACTTGAAAATGCTTGTTTTCAGTAAACCATTTTCGGAAATTCTTGTTTACCAAATTGTTGTTGTTTAGTTGCTAAGTCGTGCCTGACTTTTTTGAGACCCTGTGCACCGTAGCCTGCCAGGCTCCTCCGTCCATGGGATTTTCCCAGGCAGGAACACGGGGGTGGGTTGCCACTTCCTTCTCCAGGGGATCTTCCCGACCCATGGTTTGAACCTGTGTCTCCTGCGTCAGCAGGCAGATTCTTTACCACAGCGCCACCAGGGAGGCCCCATTTACCAAATTAACTTTCCTCAAAAAAACTGATTTGGACAAGTGAAGTGTCTGGTGCCTGTGAAATGTGTTTGTAGTACAGTTTCATATTCATCCAAGTGGAGCTGTTAAAAGACAGTGACTATATGGTGCTCAGAGACAGTGTCTAGGCTGAGTAGTAATCAAATTATTAAAACAAGAAAAAAAATTTATAACTAGATATGGTGATGGATAATAAGACTTACTGTGGTGATCATTTTGCAATATAAACAAATAGTGAAACATTTCATACACCTGAAACTAATATAATGTTATATGTCACTTCTATCTCAATAAAAAAAAAAAAATGCTGACTCCCATAAAACAAAACAAAAATCCCAATAAGATGTATCTTAAGTAAAGAAGTACTTCCTTGCATTTAGGTTTTGTTAGTGGTAATAAAATAAGCAGAGACAGATAAACACTCATCTGATGGGGGGGAAATTAGGAATATTTGGCCATGCCCTGCAGCGTGTGGGATCTTAGTTCTCTGACCAGAGATCGAATCTGTGCCCCCTGCATTGGAAATGCAGAGTCTTAAGCACTAGACCGCCAGGGAAGTCCAAAAAGAGGGCGTTTTTTTGTTGTTGTTTTTTTAGCTACAAGTTCAATTTGAGCCTGAAGTTCTAAAAAAAAAAGAGGGGCTGGGGAGGGACCTGAGACTATAATTACAACTTTAAAAATAGTGGTTGATGTTTCAGCATCTCCCAGGGGCAAGCACAGCAGTGGATCCATACCTTACCATCTCCACTGAGCAGCCTCGGAGGTGTGGAGGGGGCGGGTTGGCCCCGCACGCAGCACACTGTCCTTGCCCTCCCCCGCCCCCCCCCACCTCTGCTGGCCTCCCCTGCCTAGAGTCCCACATCCCCTTCCTGAACCTGCCTGGGGCTGACAGCTCTGCATCTTTAAACCCACACTGCAGTTTCTTCAGAAAGTCTCCCCAGTTCCCCCAAGCCCTCCAGGCTGAGAAGGTGTGTGATCATTCGTCGTCTTTCCTGAGTAGCTCTGAGCTCGCTGAGGGCATCTCTGCATCACTGAATGTGTCTTGACTCCTCACTGGCATCTGTGCTTGTCAGATGAAGACAGGAGGGTCACGCAATAGTGGGACGCAGACCCCGAGAGAGACTAGACCAGAGCTGTCGGAACACCTTTGCACGTCTGGAGGGTGTGGAGTGGACTGTCCCCAGGACGAGGACAGCTCAAGCCTCTCTGCAGCAAAACAAGCTGGTTTGGAGGGCAGGGAGTCCCCATGTCCGGCAGCTTGGTTCAGAGGCTCCGTGGGCTATGGGGCTGCTTTAGAAGATGGGTCGTGTTGTGCAGGAGAGAGTGGGGTCCTCTCCAGAGCGCTCTTCACAGGGGCCAGTCATCAGCCCCCTGCTCTGTGCCAGGTTCCTGAGACTGCAGAGAATGAGACCTACATGTCCCTGCCCTCGGGCAGCCTGCACCCTGCAGGCTGTGTCTTTTCGGGTCTTCTAAGAGGCAGGCGCCAAGACCCCGAAGAAGGTTAGTTACCAGAGGTCAGTGAAGGATGGAGGGAGCGGAGAGGCCCACAGAGCCTCAGGCCACGAGGCAGGTGTGCAGGAGGAGAGGGGCAGGAAAGACTGAGGAGGAAGCGTCTCTGGTTCGGGCCTGACTGAGGAGGTTCCCCCTGGGGAGGACCCCCGTGCCCACCATGGACCAGGTAACCTTGTCACCCTTTAGTCGTTGGCAGAGACCATGGCCTCTGTGCAGACGTGGTGGGTGTCCAGGGGCAGCAGCTGGGACCTCTGGTGAAGCCAGGCTCTTGGAAGCCGAACTGAAGGGCGCTCCCCCACGGCCATCGCACAGGGTCTCCGCCACACGGGCCCTTCCTGGCTGCTCCCCCAGGGCGTCTCGGGGCTTTTGCGTCCCATGCCAGTGAGTGCCACAGCTGGACTTGGGCTCAGAACGCCTGACTTGATCGAGCCTGTGCCTTGTTACCGAACGCCGTGCTGCATCTCAGGGTCGCTGCCCGCTCCTGAGCCGGCATCTGAGTGCACACATGCTCGCTCCCTTCCCCGTGAGCGCCTGAGCGCAGCAGCAGTGGGGAGTGCCACACTTAGCCCCGACCCTGACTGGTAGGTAGTTTACATCAGGAGGGGACTCGGACTTGATCTGGACCAAGGTCTGCTGATTCTGTGTACAGTTCACTCTGATTCCTAGCAGACTTCATGAGGACAGGGCCCCGGAGGCTCAGCCAGCGGAGCAGCAACTGCTTGTATTCTCCTGAAAGATCATGGTTTCAGGCTCCAGAACTTGGAGAAGGCAGAACATAGTGCTGTGTTTGGTTTTCTTTAAAAAATATATATATTTTTAGGTGTGTATTTATTTGGCTTTGCTGGGTCTTAGTTGCAGCATGTGGGATCTAGTTCCCTGACCAGGGATCAAACCTGGGCACCCTGCATTGGAAGCACAGTCGTAGCCACTGGACCCCCAGGGAAGTCCCTAGTAATCTTTTTGTTTTCCTTTCTTCTCCCTGCCAATATGATATGGCCGTCTTCTGGGAAAACCCCTGCCTGTTTGGCTCATCACTGATTTCCCCTTATTTGTTGAATGAATAATGAATCATGAAAAAAAAGGTGCAGCACGATGGCAGAGCAAAACCCGTATTGTCCACTCCCGATACGTGTGTCCACAGACAGCCCTTGACACAGGGCTTGGACGGCCGACGTCAGGGGGACCCCAGGCTCCTGCCCCCCAGGGCAGAGCTGAGGGGGCAGCAGCATGGTAGAGATGGAGCAGAGGAGGTATTTGGGGGGGTCTGGGCGCGCTGGACGTGAAGTCATCAGCTGGACTGCTGTGGAATGTACAGAGAGATTCATGTACCGTGCGATGAGGCGGCATGTATGGACGGCTGTCTGCACGTGCCCGGATTACCGTTAAGATAATCATAGTCGGCATGTGGTCCTCCACCTTCTGGGAGTCTTAGTGGAGTGGGTCCCGGGGAGGCTCAGGCGCCGACTGCTGAGGCCAAGCTGAGGTTGTTCCAGGTCGCTGAGGGCCAGTCGCTTGAAACCACAGGTTTGCCGCCTGGTGACCCCTGGGAGGGGGGCGAGGGAACTTCTTCGAGTACTCGGTTTCCCTGCCCCTTAAATATGGTGACGGGACTGACTGCCTCTGTCCTGCCTGCTCAGTCTCCTCCTCGTGACTGTGGCCACCACACACGCTTTCACTTCCTCAGACACTGGCCCCGACCTGCTGGGCTTCACTTTCCACTCCAGATTCTTGAGCTGTGTTCCTCCGGCCTTCCTTTCCACTAGCAGCCGCTGCCTGCCGCCGCTGGTGTGCCTTCCTTCACAGCCATGTCTCAGCTTTGAACTAGGGGCTTCCAATAGACTAGAGACTGAGACAGTGGATGCTCAAGGTGATGAGGCTTCCATGGAAGTGAAGAGGCGGCGGGCTCGGGGAGGCTGGCCCCGAACTGGTTGGTGGCAGGAGTGGCAGCACGCTGACTTCACTGATGACTGTCTTCTCTCTTCAGGCACCTCCTTTGCTTTTCCCCTAATGTTCTCTCATATTCTGAGCAGGGGAAGGTGCTTGGAAATGTCTCCAGTGAAGTAGGGTGCAGCCATCTGTTTATTTTGATTTCCATCACTCTGTTCCTTAGACGCGCACCTAGTCGTGTTACTGTCTACATAGCTTGTGTGAAGCTACACTCTCGTAGCATCACCAGTTGAGCATTTTGTCGGCTCTTGTGAAGAATGTTATTGATGTTGTGTAGAGTCAGACAGAACTGGTTGAAAGTCCCAGATAAAATCACCAAATACCTGTGTGAATTTGCATAAACCTTTCCAAGTCTCCAGGCCACTCTTTTTCTCATCTAGAGAATGGAGAGAAGTGACTGCTTCCTAAGTTGTGAAGCTTAGGTGCTTCAGTGCGTTTTCTTGTCTAACCCTGTGCCTGGAATGTCGTAGACAGCACATTATGGCTGAAATTCCTTTCTCCATTCAGTCACTTTTCCCCTGAAAGCAGAGCTGAGTCTCATCCAGGTACCTCCATGGAAGTGTTGACCCAGGAGCTCTTCTCCACTGCCCTGGTCTGTGCAGACTTAGAACCCATCACCTCACCCAGCAGCCCTTCCATAGGGAGTTGGACGCTCTGGGGACCAGGGAGTTCCTCTGTGTCAAGTGGCAGCTGGCCTCAGTTTCAGAAAAGGACAAAGCCAGCATCCATCCCTTGTGGCTGAGGCTGACGCTTACCGTTTTCTCTTGCTCTGCAGTGAACAGAGTATCTGCCAAGCCCGGGCTTCCGTGATGGTCTACGATGACACCAGTAAGAAATGGGTACCAATCAAACCTGGTCAGCAGGGCTTCAGCCGGATCAACATCTACCACAACACTGCCAGCAACACCTTCAGAGTCGTTGGAGTCAAGCTTCAAGATCAGCAGGTAAGTGCCGGAGGGACAGGCCCTGCCCGCAAGCCTGCGCCCCACACACACGTACACACACACACACACGTACACACACACACAGCGACACACACACACGTACACACAAACACGTACACACACGGCGACACACACGCACACACACACACGTACACACGTACACACACAGCGACACACGCACACTTACACACACACATGGCGACATGGTGGAGAAAGGTCAGAACAGCATGGTCACGGTTTAGTCAGAGGTCTGGGTTCTAAGTCCTGACGACATACTTTCGTATTCCCAAGGCATAGGACCCTGAGCACACTGTCTTTTGTGAGATTCATTTTCCACATCTGTCTTATAGAGACAGTAATCCACACCGTGCTGCCCTCAGTATGTTGTATCACATTAGAATAAAAATAAAATAATAGATGTGAAACAGTTTTTCAAAATGTATTGTACAAATGTGTTAGTATTATTCTCTGCCTTGTTATTGTTGTTCAGTTGCTAAGTTACGTCCGACTCTTTTCAACCCCATGGACTGCAGCACGCCAGGCTCCTCTGTCCTCCACTATCTCCCAGAGTTTGCGCAAATTCATGTCCATTGAGTTGGTGATGCCATCCAACCGTCTTATCCTCTGCCACCCTCTTCTCCTTTTGCCTTCAGTCTTTCCCAGCATCAGGGTCTTTTCAAATGAGTCAGCTCTCTGCATCAGGTGGCCACAGTATTGGAGCTTCAGCTTCAACATCAGTCCTCCAATGAATAGTCAGGGTTGTAATGAATAAAACAACAACGTTCTCTGCCTGCACACCTATAAATATTGGCTCGGCCAGAAAGTTCGTTTGGATTTTTCTGTTAAAGAAAAACCCAAACGAGCTTTCTGGCCAAACCAATACTATAGCTGTTAAGAGTTTTGGTCCACCAACCCCCTGAGTCTTACTTTGGAAGGTAAAGAAGGTACTTAAATCTTCAAGATGATGTGAAGATTCTGCGATCATTTATCTCCTTAGTAATGCATCCTGGGCACATCAGATGAGAGAGATTGTGAGTGTATCTGGTAAGTACCTGTGCAAGTAAATACAAGGTAAGTCCACCTGTGCCAGGGGTAGTTGGGAAATATAACTCGACAGAGCGGTCTGGCGTGACATGGACTGAAACAGAGACATAGACAGAGGGCTCGCGTGGCTTCACCACAGTGACTTTGGTCGGGGCTTCAGCTCTCTTCTTAGCGACTGACGACATTTTCAGCAATGAAATGAACAGATCTGTAGTTTAACATTTATGAAAACCTCTGCCTTAAATAGCATCTTCTGGCAGCCTGTGTCGGTCAGTCTTTGGCTGAGCTGAGCAGCAGGTTAGCTGCTATCTCTGCAAGAATCATCATGTTCACAAATAGAAAAGAGAACAGAAACCAAGACTCTATTTTTAAAGCGTGTTGCCTGTTGAATGGGTTTCTGCTTTGGCCAGAACAGTCCAATTGAATTCCAGATTCTTGAGGCTGAAGAGCAGAGCCTCACTTCAGAACCCCTGGTCAGGGGGAGTCTGTCTGACCTGGAGCCCTGGGCTCCTCCAGGTCAATTCCATCCCTTGGGGTTGAGCCTTCCTGGCAGGAAGGTTATTCTAGAAAGCTTCTAGAAGCTGTTTCCCTGTTCTTCCATTTCATTGATTCTTGCCCTGCCTTTTAGAGGCACACTGCACTGCAGGGGCATATGACACCTTTAGCCCCAACTGCAGTGACAACCAAAACATCTCACACGTTTCCCTAACACCTATGGGTGGGGCCAGCAAGGCAGTTCCACTCTGGTGCGCACTTCTGATATACAGCCCATAACCTCGTGCAGTTCCTAAATCACAGCGGCTGTTCCCTGCGTGGTTGTCGCTTTTATCAGGACAAGTTTTCCATTCCCTTCGTGCCTCTCGGTTGCCCTGCAAGGCATACTAGGAAGATACCATGGTGTGTGGGAAGGGCTTGGGAATGGAGAACCAGATTCCCTGAAACCAGCATAAACCTTGTTCTCAGGAGCCTCGACCTCCTTCAGAGTAAAGCACATATTGGGGCTCATTTGGGAGGAGGCCTTTCCTGCATCGGGGCAGGGTTGGGGGCAGGCAGGCAACAATCTTCCAGGAAGATTCAGAGAGACTCTGTTGCATTAGCAGTCTTCTTGGGCTGACAGGGGAGTTACCAACACAGCCTTCCGCTGCATTGGAATGTATGGAATTACATATGCAACACATAGGCTCCTGGGACATGGCTGCAACTCTGCCTGGGTGGCTGGAGCATGTTAGTCAGAAACACAGCAGAGATTCTCAGTAAACCGAGGTATTATAGAGAGTGGCAGGAAACCTGGTCTGTAATAACCTTTATGGACACAGGAGAAAAAGTTGATTTTCCTCAGGTCTGTTTTCCAGCCAATATGGATTACAAGGTCAAGCATCTTAAGAGAAACAGAGATTCCTGGTCTCATACCCAGATAGGGATATCTTATATGTTTAATGCTCTTCATGGCTTATGGAGCACTCTTCATGTCTATTATTTCATTCCCCCAATAACACCAAAAAGGATAATGCTGTAAGAATTCTCGCCCCCATTTTGCTAAAATGCTGCTGCTGCTGCTAAGTCACTTCAGTCGTGTCTGACCCTGTGTGACCCCATAGACGGCAGCCCACCAGGCTCCCCCGTCCCTGGGATTCTCAAGGCAAGAACACTGGAGTGGGTTGCCGTTTACTTCTCCAATGTGTGAAAGTGAAAAGTGAAAGTGAAGTCGCTCAGTCATGTCCGACTCTTGGTGACCCCATGGACTGCAGCCCAGCAGGCTCCTCCATCCATGGGATTTTCCAGGCAAGAGTACTGGAGTGGGGTGCCATTGTCTTCTCCAATTTTGCTAAAATAGGTGGACATAAAACCAGGTGATTGTGTGTGGGGAAAAGGACTGGTAAGTTACAGTATCATTAGCCAAGGTCTAACCTGAACCTCACATTGAAGGGAAGAAACCAAAAGACACTCAGTTGAGAATGATGTTTCATTATGTCCACTGGAAGTGTTAGCTCCCAAAGGTAGCTCTCAGGCTGCATTGACAGAAGTAGCAGTGCAGACGGAGGGAGATCGTAGTCCTGCTCTGCTCCACCATGAGCTGGTCGTACTTCACCATGACCGTCAGGGCCAGATCTCAGCACCACGTGGCCTCTCCAACGAGGACAGCGCCGAAACTGGTGAGAAGGCTGAAAGCAGTGCTAATGTGTGGAACAGTTGAAGAAGGAGCAAGCAATACATACTTGGAGGAGAGAAAAACTGAAAGGGGCATGAGCACAGTTTTCAGGTCTCTGAAGGGCTCCTTCTTCACATGGAAGGGAAATCTTTTTCTGTGAAGCCCGGAGAACAGAACTAGGAATACTGCATGGATACTACAATCAAGAAGATTTAAACTCCATAAAAGAAAGAACTGTTTTACAAGCATCCTATGGAAGAGTGTATTGCTTTGTGAGCCCACAAGCCAGCTGGCCATTTGGTAAGCATCCTGGGAAGGACATCCTGTCACTGGGTAGAGACTTGGATGTGGTGAGACCTCACATGAGGCCTTGGCCAGCCTGTAGACCCTGCAGGTTTCAGACCCAGATGAACTCGTGGGTCAGGAAGACTGTTGCGCACCATCAGCTTCTTTTTCTGTAAAGGGCTCTTGACTGTTCTTACTCAGAGGCCTCAGAAATATGTTGGACAGTATTTGGAGTTGCAAGGCCTTCCTTGAAGAGGACAGGGATTCACTCCCACTTGTTCCTGCACTCCTCAGAATAAAACATGTGCACATGTAATTGTGGACTGTTACATACACAAAACAATGTGACCTTTTAAAATAAGTTTAACCTTCAGTACTTGTCTAGATTATTCCTGCCAAAGCTTGGAGAGTTAGTTTTAAAATAAAGCATGTAAGGACATAGGTTGAAAAGTAACAGGGAAGAAACATAAACCTTACAGACACTGACCAAAGAAAATGGTGTGACTGTATTAATATTATACAGAAGAGACTTCAAGGCAAGAAGTATTACTGAAGATAAAGGACCTATTTAGTGATAAAAAAGCATCAGTTGGAAAGGAAAATATAACAATCTTAAATTTGTAGGCTCTAATAGCAAAAATGGGCAGTTCTAAAGGAAGAAATAGAGGAATCCAGAAGCCTTGTTGGCGATTCTGATGACACCTGCAAGAAACTGAATAAGCAGACAAAAATAAGCAGACATAGAAAATTTGAAGAGCGTTATTGACCAACTTGACCTAATCTACATTTATAGAAACTGTAAGCAGTCACAGTAGAATATATGATCTTTCAAGTGCACACTGAGCATTAACCAAAATAGACTACATTCTAGGCCACAAAGCCAATTTCAACACATGTAATAGGATTAAAATCATAGAATTTTTCTTTGATCACAGAGGAATTAAGCAGTATGCTGTTAAATAATCCATGATACCGAAATAAAAAAGAATTCACAATATAAATTAAAAAGTATTTTTAACAGAACAATAGTGAAACTGCAATGTAGCAAAATGTGTGGGATGAAACAGCATATAGGGAAGTGTATAGTTAGAAATGCATATTTTGGAAAAAGAATGAAAAGTCAATGACCCAAGCTTCTATCTCAAGAAGCTAGAAAAAAAAACAAACATAAACCAGTAAAAATAGAAGGAAAAATTAAAACCTAAAATTTAATGAAATAGAAAGCAGATACACACTAGAGAAAAGGCAAAATATTTTTGTTTTTATTTTTTAAAAAGAGTCTAGGTAGACCTCCATGTATATGGTCACATGATTTATGACAAAGGTGCCATTGTACTTCATGGACTAAAGATGGTCTTTTCAACAGATGATACCAGAACAATCAGATATCAATACAAAAAAAAGAAAATTTACCCCCAGCTCATGCTGTACCCCCAAATTAATTCAAAGTCAACCTAAACATGAAAAGTGAATCAGTAAAGTGTCTACAAGAAGATTCATGAAAATATCTTCGTCATATTGA